GCTGAGGTTGACGCAGTGCACCTGCCTGCCCCTGCGCGAGCCGTTGGGGGCCACCACGGAGCCCGACCTTGCGGTCGTCCTCGGCCGGCGCAGTGCGGCTCAGATGGCCATCGTCCAGCTGACCAGCGGGCTGATTCATCGGCTGCTGCTCACGCGCTCGCGCGACGACGAGGTGCGGGCGGTCCTCGACGAGCTGGTGGACGAACTTCTGCTGGTCGCCTACAAGCCACCCTGGCCTGGTGCGCCAGCGCTGCTGCGCACGCTCACGCAGCAGCTGATAGGTATAGTCCAGCCGGAGAAGAAGAAGGTGTCCACGGACGCCCTCGCGCGAGAGTACGCGCTGAAACTGATGAGCAAGGTGCTTACGCGGCTCTGGCACCACCACGTAGAGGCCGAGAAGGCCTGCATCAGGCTGCCGGCGTGGACCACGCCGCCTGAGCAGGTGCCGCGGGACGAGCGCCTGATGCAGCACATCGCCCTGCGGGTGTCCATGGAGGACGGCCGTGAGATGCCTTGGACAGCAGCGGCGAAGGCTGTGAGGGCCTGGGATGCAGAGCTGCTCCTCTCGACCACAGACGAGGACCAGTCGGGCCTCTGTAGCTTCACCGATGACATCGTCTTCAGGTACCTGGTCATGGCCCACCTGGAGGACGAGAGGTCGGTGCCAGCACGATGCCCCCCAGTGGAGCGCGGGGGCTCGGTGTCGTTGTCCGCCTGCGTGCTCCCCGCAGGCCATCCTATCCACGCCTGGAGCTTCCTGGTCTGTGACTGGGCCGAGGCGTCCGCGAGGGCGCACAGGCAGCGCTCGGCGGAACTCGGGGACGACCCGCGGAAGGCTGGCAAGGCCAAGAGCAAGGTTGGCCAGGACTCCGCCCTGGAGCGCTTCCTGGCGTGTGGCTGGGTGTCCCGGACGCTGCTGAGCGGTGAGGGGAGCAGCTGGCGCAGCGCGGGTGGCCGCAGGGTCCTGATGCCATTCGCCGTCTACAAGGCTTACCGCCAGCTCCGCGACGCCGAGTTCGAAGGTCTGCGCAAGGCGGCCCTGGACTGCATCGTCGTCCAGGCGAATGGCCCTGCGGCCTCCATGCGCAAGTCGGCCGTAAGAGCACTCAGCGATGTCATCGACATCGACGGCGCCGTGCTGTCGATGAAGCCGGTGGAGGAGACCATCGACATGCGCCTCAGGGACGAGTCCGCCTGGGTGCGCCAGGTCAGCCTCGACGTGCTCGGGCGCACCCTTGAGGCCGGCATGGAGCCGGCGGTGCAGGAGGGCGCGGCGCCGCCGGTGCTGAGGGGCGAGGATAGCAGGACCGCCTCGGTCAGCGCGATGCTCCTGCGGTTCCACAAGACGGTCCGCGGTCGGGTTCACGACACCTCGGTGCTGGTGCGCAGGCAGGCGTCCAAGATCTTGAGCGCCTTCGTGCTCAACCATCCTGGGCACCCAGACGTCATCGAGGCTGGGCACCCCTGCTCCTCTTGTCCCCCCGCCCTCCTCGGCCTCCTCGCTCCTCGCGGCTCGCGCCTCGCTCCTCCCTCCTCTCCTCTGCTTCCTCCCTCCCTCCTCCCTCTTGCCTCCTTCCTCCTGCCCCTCCCGCCTCCCTCCTCCCTTCTCTCTCCATTCCCCACCCCTGTGTCCTTCATCGCCTTCCCGCCTCCTTCGCCGCTGGAGGTGCCCGCCTTCTGGCGGTACCCCCTCTTCGGTGCTCGCTGCGTCTCTCCCCGCCGCTCCACTGCCGTGCATCCGTGGCTTGGCGCTGCCACCTCTCGAGTCGAGCTGGCAAGGCAACTCTTACCTGCTTCTGAAGTTGGCGTCGTTCCTGTGATTTTCATGGTCAACGCCGATTCACGGCTGACGTGCAGGAACTACGGTATATGCCTCAGCACAGCGTACCCCTCGGTATGGAGTCGTGTTGCGTCGGACCAGCTGCCGCAGAATAGAGATCACAACTTTGCATGCGCGTTGATGGATCGGTTTGCGGTTAAGGGCCTCTCTCCGCTTCCTCCATCTTCTGGCCCCTCCGAGCAACAAAAATCCCTGCCTCTCCTCCTGTCCCTCCCGCTCCTCCTCCCGCTCTCCTTATTCTCCCCATTCCCCTCGCCTTTCCCCTCCCCTCCCCCCCCCTTTCCCCTTCCTCCCCCCCCTCCCCAGGCCCCAGGCAGAGCAGTTCCTGCATGCGCGGTGGGTGCGGCCCCAGGCAGCGATCCGCCCGATCCATCCGACAGGCAGGGCCGTGCGAGGCACAGAGCGCCCTGCCTTGTGGTGGAGCACCCCCGCGGGGCCCCGTTCGCCCGCCTCCCGGCCCTCGCCCCGTACTGCCCAGAGCCGTGGCCTTCGGAGGCATCGTGCCGTCCGTGCGATGCACGCGGTGCTCCTGTCTCATCACAGGTTGCAGGCGAGCAGGATCACGAGGATCCAGGCGAGCAGGATCACGAGGATCCAGGCGAGCAGGATCACGGAGCTCACGAGGATGCGGGCGAGCAGGAGCGCGAGGATCACCGGTTGCAGGCGAGCGGTGCTCCGATCATCACAAGCTGCAGGCGAGTTGCTCCGATCATACAAGGGCACCCTTTCATCCCTGCAGCTTCGGTGGGAGAAGGAACAAAAACGATCGGAGAAGGAACAAAAACAGCACAAACGTAAACTTGTGGCGCTCCGCGCGGATTTCTTGTATCCGCGCTGGGGCCCCCTGGCGGCGCCTTCCGCGCTGCCCCTGGCGCGCTTCGCCCAGATCGAAGAAATCCGCGCGGACCTCCAACAGTTTCTGTCTACGTCGTTTTTCTTCCTCTGCAAGGGCACCCTTTCATCCTTGCAGCTCCGGCCCGTCCTCGGGCGCTGTCGCTTGCCGCTCTCGCCCAGGAGGGTTCCACCCGGGCGTCCGACGACCTCGCATCCTCGGCGCGCCACCCTTGGATTCAGGGGCACCGCTGCGGGGGAGGAGCTCAGGGGGGGACTCATCGACCCCAGTCGCCCATTCCACCTGGGCGTCCAACGTCCTCGCATCCTCAGCGCGCCACCCTTGGATTCAGGGGCACCGCTTCGGGGGAGGAGCTCAGGGGGGGACTCGTCGACCCCAGTCGCCCATTCATCGCCGATGGCCTGCCCGATGGCCCAACCCGCCCAGGAGCGCGCGGCGGTGCTGGCCGGCGGTCCCCTCGCCGACCTGTCGGCGACGCATCGCCGCTGCCAGCTCGATGCTCTCTCCACGGAGACCGCACAGGAAGAGGAGGAGGAGGAGGAGGAGGAGGAGGAGGAGGAGGCGGAGAGGAGGAGGAGGAGGAGGAGAGGAGGAGGAGGAGGAGGAGGAGGAGTTGAGGAGGAGGAGGAGGAGGAGGAGGGGAGGAGGAGGAGGAGGAGGAGGAGGAGGAGGGGGAGGAGGAGGAGGAGGAGGGAGGAGGAGAGGAGGAGGAGGAGGAGGCGAGAAATCACTTTTTTGTGGCCATAATTGCGGATGGGGCATGGTCGAGAGGTCGCACAGGCCGGGGGGTCCCCGATGCCGCCTGGAGGCGAGGGAGACGGAGGGCGGCCGAGGCTTGGGGGACCGTGCGAGAGAGTACCGCGCGCCGCGCCCTGCCGACCCACAGCAGCCTCCCTCCTCCCTCCTCCTCCTCCTCCTCCTCCCTCCTCCTCCTCCTCCTCCTCCTCCTCCTCCCCTCCCCCTCCTCCTCCTCCTCCTCCTCCTCCTCCTCCTCCTCCTCCTCCCCTCCTCCCTCCCTCCTCCTCCTCCCTCCTCCTCCTCCTCCTCCTCCTCCTCCCCTCCTCCTCCTCCTCCTCCTCCTCCTCCTCCTCCTCCTCTCCTCCCGCCGCCCCCCCCCTCCCTCCTCCTCCCTCCCTCCCTCCCTCCCCCCCTCCCTCCCTCCCTCCCTCCCTCCCTCCCTCCCTCCCTTCCTCCTCAGCGATTTCGGACCCCTGGGGGAAGTGGAGATAGGGAGGGGGGACAGCCAAGGGTCTGACCCGCCCCGTCACCCCGCTGCAAGCCGTGGTCAGAGGATCCCGAATGTTTTTGTGTCCCGATCTTGGCTTCGTCTCACGTGGGCCGAGGAGTATTCGTCCTGGGCATGCTTCCTCGAGCTCTTCGTGTGCTGGAAAGGTTCCTAGCTGGTAGTGCTCACAAGCTAAACGAGGCACCTAGGAATACTAAAGCGTCTCGGGCCGTGTCCACTGAGGAGGCCGAGCCAGTGGTCACCATACTGTCATATACAGATGACAGGCCACCCCCTCGGTAAGGTCGATGGAGTGGGTCTGCCGCGAGTGTGGCGGACATTCAAAGAAGCGGAGCGTTATCGTTCAATGAAGGTGGCTAGGCACCTCGAGGGTAGGTTCTGACCAAGGTACACGACTCTCACATGATGTGGGTCCCGGATGCTCTAGAGGCTCCAGAGGAGTAAGAGGCGGAGCCGGAGTCGGAGTCGGAGTCGGAGTCGGAATCGGAGTCATATTCGGAGTCGGAGGGGATGAGGATAAGGAGGAAAAGGAGGAGTAGGAGGAATAGGAGGAGGAGGAGGAGGAGGAGGGGGGGAGGAGGAGGAGAAGGAGGGAGGAGGACTGGTGTAAACCCAAGACTCGTCAACGATGTTGGGATACACCCTTCCTCCAAGCTCCTTCTTCATAGGCCCCCTGCAAGGATTTACTTCTACTGAGGGAAGTGCCCCATTTGGAGACAACCGTGTGAGAATCCTGAGGCGTGCCAAAGCACCATTGTCAGGACTTCAACGTCACGAATTAACCTAACTGCTGCGTCTTGACGAGCCTGAATCGTGCCAGAACGCCGTTCCTGGGATTCAACTCCGCGAATCAACGTAACTGTTGCGCCCTGACAATCCAGCATCGTTCGAAATCACCAGTTCTGGACGGTTAACCATGAGAATCATCGAAATCCGGGCAAATAAAAAACGAATGTGCGCGGCGCTAAGGCGAGAGCCGCATTTCGAAAAGGATCCGCTCTCAATTCGTGAAACTTTTGCATATTTTCAAGGCGAATGTAAGCGGCGCTGAGGCGAGAGCCACATCGTGAAACCGACCTGCCCTCAATCCGGGAAGCTCTTGTTGCATATTTCCAAGACGACTTTGCGCGGCGCTCAGGCACGAGTTGCCTTTTGAAAACCACCCGCCCTGGATCCGTGAAGCTATGGCGAAAGACGAAGGTGCGCGGCGCTAAGGCAAGAGCCACATTTTGAAAACGACCCGCCCTCAATCAGTAAAACTCTTGTTGTAAATTTTATCAACGAATCTGCGCGGCCCTAACGCGAGAGCCACATTTCGAAACCGCCCGCCCACCACCTGTGAAGCTGTTGCCAGTTTTCCAGCGTCAGGCGCACAAATGGTGAGGAAGTCTCAGGCGAAACTCCTGGCCGGCCTTTCGACTGGCCTCCGGGTGCGACAGGGAGGAATTATTTATAAGGAAACGCAATCGAGGAGGAGGAGGAGGATGAGGAGGAGGAGGAGGAGGAGCAGGAGGTTCATGCTGATAACATTGATGCTGCTGCTGCCGATGATGATGATGATGATGATGATGATGATGATGATGATGATGATGACGATGATAATCATGATCATGAGGATGATGCTGATGCTGATGACGATGATGCTGAGAATGAGGGTGATGATGGTGAGGAGGAGGAGGAGGATGGTGTTGATGCCGACGATGATGATGCTGATGATGATGTTGGTGATGATGCGGAGGATTATGATAGTGATGATGATGCTGTTGATGATGATTCTGATGATGATGATGATGATGCCGATGATGACGACGACGATGATGATGATTCTGCTGAGGATGATGATGTTGGTGATAATGTGGAGGATTATGATAGTGATGATGATGCTGATGATGATGCTGTTGTTGATGATGATGATGACGCCGATGATGTTAATGATGATGATGACGATGATGATGATGATGCTGATGATGATGATGATGATGATGATGATGTTGGTGATTATTATTATGATTCTGATGATGATTGTTATGATGATGATGATTGTAATGGTGATGATGATGATGATGATGATGCTGATGCTGATGATGATGATTAGGATGTTGATGATTCTGATTATGATGATGCTGATCATGCTGATGATGATGCTGATGATGATGATGCTGATGCTGATGATGATGTTGATGATGATGACGATGATGAAGATGATGACGATGCTTCTGCTGCTGCTGCTTGTGATGATGATGCTGATTAGGATGATGATGATGATGGTGATGATGATAATGATGCTGATGACTATGATGATTATGATGATGCTGATCATGACGATCATGATGATGATGATGATGATGATGATGATGATGATGATGATGATGATGATGATGATGATGATGATGCATCTGCTCATGCTGATGATGATGATGATGCTGTTGCCGATGATGAGATGATGATGCTGATGATGATGATGATGATGATGATGATGATGCAGATGATGATGATGATGATGATGATGATGATGATGATGATGATGATGATGATGATGATGCTGATGATGATGATGTTGATGTTGATGATGATGATGATGATGCTGATGCTGATGATGATGATGATGATGATGATGATGATGATGATGATGATGATGACGATTATGATGCTGCTGCTGCTGCTGCTGATGATGATGATGATGATGCTGATGATGATGATGATGATGATGATGATGATGATGATGATGATGATGATGATGATGATGATGATGATGATGATGATGATGATGATGGTGATGATGACGCTGCTGCTGCTGGATGGTGACGTTGATGATATTGTTGTTTTGGTTTTCGTAGCTGTTTTTTTGTGTGATCGTTACAGTTTCGGTTTTGGGAGGAGGTGGAGGAGGGATGAGGAGCGAGGGGGAGGAGGACGAGGAGGAGGAGGAGGAGCAGGAGGAGGAGGAGGAGGAGGAGGAGGAGGAGGAGGAGGAGGAGGAGGAGGATGAGGAGTTGGAGTTTTGGAGGTGGAGGAGCAGAAGGAGGGAAATGAGGAAGATGACTAGGAGGAGGAGGGGGAGTCGAAGGAGGAGGAGTGGGAGGAGGAGGAGGAGAAGGAGGACGGGGGAAGTCACATCATCGGTGCGTGGAGTGGGCGTCTCCCAGCGGCCGCGCAGGTGGCCCTGGACCTGCTCCGGCGGTGCAGCGACTCCGAGGCGCTGAGGAACCTGGTGCTGGGCACGTTCGAGCTCCTGTGGTTCATGGAGGAGGACCTGCCCCGAGCAGGGGGAGGAGGAGTGCAGTATTTGACCATGCCCGGGCTGGATCTTGACGCCGCGCGGCCCCAGCGCAGCAGGGTGCGGGCTCGCCTCCCCTGAGTGCCAGCCTGAAGTCGCGCATGCAACCGCTGGGAGTCCGACTGGATATGATGCGTGCCATCCTCTGCTACTCTCCTCCTGAGGGAGGATGATTGGAAAGGATGATGGCGAGGTTCCTTGCCCAGGCGAGTGTCGTGCGAATCTCGGGGTCGTGTGCAGTGTGGGGCGTCTCCGATTTCGCAGGTGGTCCAGGCATGCTCGCGTACTTTCGTGTGGACCGCAAACAGCTGAAGGGGGCATACAGGTCGGACATTGCCAAGGGTGCTCCTGGCCCCAGCTGTTCCGGGCGGCCCAGCTGGCCTCCAGAACGCCCGAGGCATAGAGGGCCTTGGGGGCTTCAACACGGTGCGACACGCTCACGGTACCTTGGGCCAAGGTCACCTCTGGCACACGGTGTGCGATCTGCATGTTGTGCGGCAGAACCGAGGCTGGGCAGACACCGTCGCGGTTAGCGTCGTGTGTTGCGCCGCGGTCGTCGTCGTCATCGTGCTCGTCGTCGTCATCGTTCGAGCCTCCCGGAAAAAAATCGCGAGAGGGAGTGGGGAGACGGAAGATGATTTGGATGATTATGATGACGATGATGATGATGGTTGTGACGATGCTGACGATGATAATGATGAGATTATGGTGAGGATGATGAGATGCTGATGCTGACGACGATAATGATGCTGCTGGTGATGATGATGATTATGCTGATGCTGATTCTAATGATGACGCTGCTGGTAATGTTGATTATGAGGATGAGTCTAATTATGATGCTGATGATGATGAGGATGATGATGCTGATGAGGTTGATGATGATGGTGATGATGATCATGATTCTGATGCTGCTGCTGATGATGATGATGATGGTGCTGCTGCTGCTGATGCTGCTGCTGCTGATGCTCATGCTGATGATGATGCTGATGATGATGATGCTGATGATGATGATGATGACGATGATGATGATGCTGATGATGATGATGATGATGATGATGATGATGATGATGATGATGATGATGATGATGATGATGATGATGATGATGATGATGATGATGATGATGATGATGATGATGATGATGATGATGATGATGATGATGATGATGATGATGATGATGATGATGATGATGATGATGATGATGATGATGATGATGATGATGATGATGATGATAGGAGGAGGAGGAGGAGGAGGAGGAGGAGGAGGAGGATAAGGACAAGGAGGACGAGAAGGAGTAGGAGGAGGAAGGAGGAGCAGGAGGAGGAGGAGGGCAAGTAAAAAGGCCAGAGGTCTCGTGGATGCCTTCTGGAGCCTCTCGGGATATCTCCTGGACGCTTCTTGGAGGTCCTTGGGACGTCTTGGAGGTCTCTCGGCGGTCCTGGGGGGCTCTTGGGCGTCTTGAGTGCCTCGGGGGGGCCTCTTGGGACCGCTTGGGGTCCTCCTGGGGGCCTCCTGGGGGCCTCTTGGGGGCCTCTTGGAGCCATCTTGGGGCCATCTTGGGGCCTCTTGGGGCCTCCTGGGCGCTTCTTGAGGCCATCTTGGAGGACATCGATCAAAGAAGGAGGGGTGGCAATTAGCCTTAGAGGCCAAAATGGAGCCAAAACCCTAGTAAAACCAATGATTTTGGCTTCCTCGCCGAGTCCGTTTTGGACGCCCTGACCGCTCGCGACCGGCCCTGTCCAGGTCCAGGGGAGGGGGTTAGGGGGGAGGGGTAAACCCTTCCCCGAAGGGGAAGAAGGGGGGTGGAAGAGGAACCTCCCTAAACCACCTACGCCCGGAGGGCTGTTGGGTTTTTTGTTTGGGCGATTTCGGCTCTCGCGCTCGCCGAGATGGCTCAGGACACTTCAATTCCACAACTGCTCAGGCCCGGCGCTGGTCAACCCTGCGGTCTGAGCGGAGCGATATCTTGCCATGCAAGGCCACCCCCGGGCCTGAGATATGTACGACGAGGATTGTCACGAAGTAATATGCACATGTAATGCGAATGATCCTGAGCATGATCATGACGACGACGAGATGTGGAGGGAGGATGTTAAGGAGGGAGGAGGACGATGAGCACGATGGAAACGGATGAGCATGATAAGAGTGAGGAACAAGAGCAGCAGGATGAGGGAGGAGTGGGGAGTGGGGGGTCGGGGGATTCGGGGGGAGGGAGGAGTGGGGAAGGAGGGAGGGTAGGGGGCGGCAGGGAGGGAGGCAGGGAGTGAGGAAGGGGAGAGAGGGAGAGAGGAAGGAGGAGGGAGTGAGTGAGTGAGGGAGGGAGGGTGACGAGGGAGGGGGACGAGGAGGAGGAGGAGGATGATGTGGAGGAGGAGGAGGAGAAGGCGCAGGAGGAGGAGGATGAGGAGGGAAAGGATGAAGAATGAGCGTTAGCAGTCATGTACTCTACTGCGGCCGCCGTCGTCGATGCCGTCATGCGTCTGCTGCACCTCAAACGCTGCACTGTCAGTTGTTGCAGTGCTTGCTTGACGCTCGTGCGTCCAGGCATACTACTCTTTAGCTCAACGACACGGTACATACCTGGCCCAAGCCTTTGGGCCGGATTCTGCACTTGCTTATGAAGGTGGTAGTACATTCGATATTCTAGCTTCGCTCAATGTTCTTCTTGTTGCTCATGCAGGAGGTCCAACATGAATGCTGGGACATTTGCGTTGGATGGGGAACTCGCGTACTTTGAGCTGGTACGAGGCACAAGCCAGAATTCTGGTCAGGTCGGTTCAGCTGGGGGTTATTATGTGACGCCTTACGCCCAGAGTTTGACCTGAATAGAAAAGCCGAACAGATAGAAGGAGAGAGAGATATTTATTTATAGCTATATCTATGTATATACATATAGAGAGAAACTCTCCCCTGCTTCTTTCTCGCTCTCTATCCCTCTCTCTCTCGCTCTTTCTGTGTCTCTGTCTCTGTCTTTGCCCCTGTCCCTGTCTCTCTCTCTCTCTCTCTCTCTCTTTCCCTCTCTTAATCCTTGCCTCTCTCAGAAGGTATAGCCAGCCGAACTTGGGCATGACTGATCCAGCCGCCATTTTGGCGAGCAAGACAAGAGTGGTGGCTCTGTCGGTGAGAAAACTCAGACCACCAGGACGCGCTCCGCTTGTGGAGCTGCACATGCAGGAGCTGGAGCTTGGACCACGAGGAGCATTTCCCCTGGAACAGATCGGCTGCCAGCGCGTATGCAGCTCGAGCTGCTGCGTGCTTCTTCGAAGATGTGGCGATAGCGAAGGTGACGAAAAGCTTTGCCGAATGGCAGGTCGGGGGACTGCTGGCCCGCTGTCTTGGGGAGCCTGGCGACGGTCCCTCCGCCGGGACAGCAGCTGGGATGGCTGGGTGGTAGCAGACACGTATTGTGCTGCTGCTGCCGCCGCCAACGATGTCGCCGTTCATGTGCGGCCATGATCTCATTGCAACACCAGCTGTGACAGCGCTTGCGCGGCGTGCGTGCGTACAGGCATGCAAGGTGTTCTAGTCTGGCTCGGGGACGTGATTGAGATTTGTCCCAAGCCTTCCGTTCGACTGCTGGAGCAGATGCTGTGCATGCCCGTAAAATGCAGACCATCGTCTCGGACCTCTGCTCTTGCATGCCACACAGGCGGAGGCAGGGGGAACAGGGAGAGGCCAGGGACAGGGACAACGAGGAAGAGGAGGGAGGAGGAGGAGGGTGACGAGGGTCCCACCTTCAACCAGGCCCGCGTCGGGACGACGGCCCCGCCCTGCCCTCTCTCAGGAGCCCACGCGCGGCGCCGCCCTGCAGCTCGCGCGCGTGGTGGACGCCTCGCGCGGGGCGGAGTCTGGGCGCGGCGACGTGCTCGGCGAGCTGCTGCGGCGCTTCAGGACGCCCCCCTGTGCCACGCCCGCTCCCTGGGCTTCGCCCTCTCCCGGCCGCGTGAGGCCCCGCCTTCCTCCGCCCTTTCTCTGCTAATTAAAGCTGTGCGCGCCCCGCTTAGCTTTCAGCGGAAGAGGTTCGCTCTCGCCCCGCAGATCAAAAACTGTGCCACGCCCGCTCGAGGGCTCGGCCTTCCGGCGGCCCTTCGGCGGCCACTCTGGCGGACTCCCGAGGACGTCGTCGGCCCTCTGGCGGCCTTCTGGCGGCCTTCGCGGCGGCCGCCTCGGCGGGCCTCGGTGGCTCGTGGTGGCCCGGCCTGCTTTTCCTCCCGCTCCTCCTTTTTTCCTTGCGCACGCCTCTCTCCTCACGCCTCCCTCCTCCCTCGTCCCCTCGGGCTCCCTCCCTGACTCACTCCCTCTCTCCCTCGTTCTTCCTCCTCCTCTTTTCTCTCCTCCCCTCCTCCTCCTCCTCCTCCTCCTCCTCCTCCTCCTCCTCCTCCTCTTCCTCGTCCTTTTCCTCTTCCTCCTCCTCCTCCTCCTTCTCCTCCTCCTCCTCAATGCACGAATCAGCGTTGGTCGGAGCGTTTAGCCGAACGCCAGACGAACGACTGGACGGGCGAGTTTAAGCTTTGGCACCTCCAACCGACACAGGGATTCGGGAAGCGACTCCCTCGTTTTCTTGTTCGTAGCACAGATCAGATAGTTTCCTGAAGTGCCTCCGCTCGATTCAAGAAAGCGTCTCAAAAGCATTCCACAAGTCCAATGCTGCCAGGGGCTCGATCCGCCCCTCGCCGAAAGTTCCCACTGTTGGCGGGTCTTCTCGCGCCATCCGAGTGCACGCGAATTAGAGGTTTTCGTTTCACACCGGTTCGCTCCAGTGATCTGGTGAACCAGTGATTTGGCCGGCTGATCCGGTGATTTGGTGACGCAGGGATTGAGTGATTCGGCAAGCTGATTCGGAGATCTGGTGAGCCAGTGATCCGGCCGGCTGATCCGTTGATCCCGTAATCCAGTGATCTGGCTGGCTGAACCGGCGATCCAGTGATTTGGCTGGCTGATCTGGCTGATCTGGTGATCCGGTGATCCGGCGGGCTTTTGCTGTGATCCGCTGATGCGGTGATCCTCCCAGCTGTTCTGGTGATCTGGCTGATCCAGTGATCCGGCTGGCTGATCCATTGATTCGGTGGTCCAGCCGGCTGATCTGGTGATCCCGTAATCCGGTGATCCGGTGACCCAGCTGGCTGATCCGGAGATCTGGTGATCCAGTGATTGTATACCATCGTAAGACCGTCGATCTTGAGAATGCGATGGCGTCGATCGTCGGGTCATCGATGAGATAGGGCCGATGTAGCCCCGATCAGCGTAAATCAGCGTCGGTTAGCGTCGATTTAGCGTCGATTATCGTCGATTCGCAAGAGCCAACGAGACGGTATGGGAAGCTCCCGTGAGTTGCCACTCAAAAGAGATGTGGCCGGCTGATTTGGTGATCCGATGGTCCGGCAGGCTGATTTGTTGTTGATCTGAGGACCAAGTGATCCAGCCATTCGATTTAGTGTTTATGTGGGTGTTCCAGTGACTTGGCGATGTGATCGGCTGATCTGGTGATCTGGTGGTTTTGCTGGCTTATCCGGCGATCTGGCTGGCTGATCTGTTGATCTGGTGATCCGGTGCTCCGGCCGCATGAGCATCTATTATTTGGTGATCCAGCGGGCTGATCCAGTGATCCAGTTGATCCGGTGTTCTGGTGATCTGGCAGGTTGCGGCGATCCGGTGATCGGTGATCCAGTAATCCAGACAGCTGATCGAGTTTCCCTTGATCTCGCCGGCTGATCCAGTGATCTGGTAATCCAGCGGGCTTTTCCGGTGAATTGGTGATCTATCTGGTAGACCCAGTGATTTGGGGTCTAGCTGGCTGACCAGGTGATCTGGTCTGGCTGGCTGAGTCGGTGATCGGGCTGATTTGCTGCCCTGCTGATCCCGTGATCTGGCTGGCTGATCCGGTGATCAGGTTGAACCAGCTGATTTGGTTGATACGGTTGATCCAGTTGAATTGGTTGATCTGGCTGATCTGGTTTCACCGGCAGATTTGGTTGATCCAGTTGTATGGACTTGACCTGCGGCGGTACCTGGGGCCTGGGGTCTGCTGGGCACAGAAACGCAGCTTCGTCAGTCCGTGGGACGTGCAGAGGCTGCCCCGCAAGCAAAAATGTGTGGTGCTGCGGCGTTTGGAGCCATGTTTAAGTCGGGCCTGTCTCTCTCTACAGGAGGGATATTCAGAAATAGTCAGAGGACGATTTTTTGACTATGTTTGAGCATTTTTTGCGTATTTCTCCAGTTTTTTGTAAATTTTTCGCCCACAATCCCCCTGTAGGGGGACAGGCCCGACCTGAAGCTAGGTGGGGACCGCCCGTCATCTAAGACTCCGCGCTTCGCCCGCGGCCGCCCTGGAGCTAGCCAGAGGCCGCTCCGCACAGAGAAGTACGCTTGTGGCGGCTCTGCAGCTTGCTCAAAGCTGCCCTCGCACGCGCACGCGTGATCACGGCGGCCGCTGGGGCTTGCTTGGAGCGCCTCCGCGCGCGGTCACGCCGCTGCGGCTGGGGCTTGCTGGAGGCTGTTCCGCGTACAAAAGCTCGCACCTCTTGGAACCCTGAAGGTGTCCCGGCGCGCAACCAAATGCGGAGCGAGACCCCTTCCCAGGCGACGCTGTTTCGATCCTTATTTCCCCACCACGAGATACCTGCCGATTCGATGCATGACGCCTCCCCCTGTTAGAGGCGGCCATGTTGGGACAGATGCGGGGAGCGCCCTCGGCCCGCTCGGCCCCCGACCGCTTGAGGAGGAGGATGAGGAGGAGGAGGAGGAGGAGGGGGAGGAGGAGGAGGAGGAGGAGGAGGACGGGGTGGAGGAGGAGGAGGTGGAGGAGGAGGAAGATGATGATGATGATGATGATGATGATGATGATGATGATGATGATGATGATGATGATGATGATGATATGATGATGATGATGATGATGATGATGAGATGATGGTGGTGGTGGTGGTGGTGGTGGTGGTGGTGGTGGTGGTGATGATGATGATGATGATGATGATGATGATGATGATGATGATGATGATGAGGAGGAGGAGGAGGAGGAGGAGGAGGAGGATGGATGGCAGAAGATGAGGAGGGAGGAGGCGGGGGAGGGGGAAGAGCAGGAATGAGGAGGTGAAGGAGGACGCGGAGGAGTAGAAGGAGTAGGAGGAGGATTAGGAGGATCAGGAGGATCACAAGGAGGGAGGGAGCGCAAGCTGCACGAACTTGGCGGCCGGGAGAGTGACGCAGGCAATCGGCCCGACAGTCGTTCCGCCGTGAGGGCTCGTCCTACCCTTCAGATCACACAGTCTAGAAGGCGAGGGAGGTCAGAGATCGAGAACGGGAGAGCGAGGGCTCCTTCGAGGCAATAGCAGCAGAAGCGCATGAGGCTCCCAGGGGCCTGCACAGCAAGCCATAGACGTTCGCCCTCTGCGCTAAAGCGGCGCAGGTGGTAGAGGAGGAGGAGGAGGAGGAGGAGGAGGAGGAGGAGGAGGAGGAGGAGGAGGAGGAGGAGGAGGAGGAGGAGGAGGAGGAGGAGGAGGAGGGGGGCGGCAGTCGGAGACTGCTCACGCTATCAGGAATCAGACATCAGGAGGATGAGGGGGGGTGAAACGATGAAGAGTGTCATGAGTGTCATAGATCCAAGAAGTGAACGGCGAGCGAGGCTCAACCGTCACCCTCGGCCTCCCAGACAGGAGGAAGGGGCCCGCAGGCGCCAGCACCGACGGTCAGGGGAAAGGCAGATACCTGGTCGCTCAGCGACTCGCTGCCCAACCGAGACGGCGTGGTGCGTAGGGGGACAGCCGGTTCACCGCGTCACCGCGCAGTACTTCCCGACCGTCACCCCTGCCGAACCGGATGGCATGTGCAACTGGGTTTGTACCCCAGGGTGAGCGGACACAAGGTCCCAAGGGACTTACGGACCACATGGCCCCGCCTCTCAACCAAATGCACACTCCCCGTGCTTGGTACCCATCTCCAGGTCACGGGCGCAGCTAACGCGCCGCTGCCACGGGCAAAATGCCACGTGGCTGGTGCAAGAGCGACGAAAGCTGGTTTATCTGCCCCCAGCCGCCGCATGCGATCGACATTGACAGCGTGCCCCGAGGAGTGTGTGGCGCTGACACCATGAGAACAGGTGCCAGGCCCCCACCCTCGGGGCCAGTGAAACGATGAAGAGGAGGAGACTGAGGAGGAGGAGGAGGAGGAGGAGGAGGATGGAGGAGGATGAGGATGAGGAGGAGGAGGAGGAAGTCCTGGGTCGTCACGGAGGGAGGGAACGCAGTCACCGTCGGCGCGGCCCGCCCTTGGCACTGGGCAAGGGCGGCCGCGGACCAGCGTGGCCCAGCCATGACCTAGCCACCACGCGCATTTCCACCCACTGGCCGCCTCTTCACCTGCCAGCAGTGGGACGGGGATGTGTGTTTGTGTGTGTGTGTGTGCGTGTTTGCGTCATGTGTACAGCATGTCGGCTCAGCGGGGAGGGCTGCCGTAAACCCAGGTGGGATGCTCCAACTCTCTCAGGGTCGGGAAATACATAGCAGTACATAGAACCGCGTCATCTCTTGCACTGGTCGTCACGCGTCGGGGGCCGTTGTCACGTGCAGGGATCGGGGCTACCCATGGGCCACCACGGCGCGGGTCGCCCTCGGTGCAGGGCGAGGTTGGCCGCAGACCGCCGAACGCCCAGCACCGTCTGCTTGCGCCGGCGGCCGCGTGCCCGACAAAGCTGCGGTGCCGAGCCGATGTTGAGCGCCGGCGGCCATGCGCGGAACCGAAACGGGCCGAGCTGGCGCCCGCCTCGCCCTCGAGGGGCGGGGGGGGCCACGGTCGGGCCCAGCGGCCGCGGTCCGGCAGTGCCGCCTCCTCCCCCGCCCGGGCCCTCCGACGCCCCTCTTGCCCCGAACGCAGGCCTGCTGCCTGCCACGCCTGCCTCTTGCCGCCTCCTCCAGCTCACAGCCTCCTCCTCCCTCCTCCTCCTCCCTCTTTCCTCCTCCTTCTCCCTCCTCCTCCTCCTCCCCCTCCTTCTTCTCCTCCTCCTCCTCCTCCTCCTCCTCCTCTTCCTCCTCCTCTCTTCCTCCCTCCTCCGCCTCCTCCTCCCTCCTCCTCCTCCTCCTCCTCCTCCTCCTCCTCCTCCTCCTCCCAAGCGCAAGCCTGCTTCTCCCTGCCCCCCCTTCGCCGAGCTCACCGCCCGCCGCTGGCCACGCACTGCCCTCCGACTCGCTCGGGGTTTCTGGCCAAGGACAGCAGGTTGTTGGGCCTGTTCCGATAAGAGGACGCGCCGAGGTTGGTCCCTCCTCTGCGGGAGGGTGTGATCCATGCTCGGGCTACGCACCACCACCGCGGCACGCCCCCAGCAAAGACGCCCACCCACGCTTGGACCCCTTACGCCCCCCCTTCCTGCTAGACTGTCTCCCTCCACCACCGCCGCCAGCACGTTTCGGACGGGGCTCCTCTGGGTCGCAGCTCCGCGCGCACTGGCGCTGGCACCAGCCTTTTCTTACCCTCTCCCCTTTCCTCATCAGTTCTCCCCTCCGTCGTTCGGGCGGTCCTTTCCTGTCTTCCTGACCCCTCCCCCTGGCGACGGGCAGGAGGACGATGGCTTCGAGGATCACTCTGGCAATGCCACCATCCTGAGCCTGAGGAGGGAGATCACGAGGAGACGAGCCCTCCCAGCCGAGGAAGAACATCGGCGCGCGGAAGGCCTCCAAAGGCTACGAGTTCGCGATAAGGCGACAGCGGCCGGCGGCGCCTCTGCGGTCGGGTTGCCGCACACAATGGGGTCAAGCGCCAATGGAAGTCAGCCAGTCCCTGCTGGCCCAGTGCTGGCCGTTCTGGGCTCTCCTCCTCCTCCTCCTCCTCCTCCTCCTCCTCCTCTATCTCCGACTCCTCCGACTTCTCCTCCTCCTCCTCCTCCTCCTCCTTCGTGCTTCGCGGCTTGTCCAGGTTGCTCAGTAGGAGAAACAGGCGTAGGGAGGCCCTTGCAGGTCCCCGGAGGTCTCTGGAGGGCGTGAAGGCCTCCGTGGAGGCCCCCCAGAGGCCCGAAGAATGCCGACTCGCCCACCATCGCTTTCGTGGGGGCGGGCGCTCTTTCCGCGCAAGCCGCCCGACCTGAAGCAGCCAGGGCCCTGCGCCGGCGAGCGCGTGCGCGGATCCCAGCGTGGCAGTCTCTGTTCAGGGCGCTGGGGGAAGAGGGGCGAGGGAGGGGGGACGAGGGACGAGGGGAGGGGAAGGAGGGATGAGGGAGTAGGGATAATACAGAGGATGAGGATGAGGATGGGAATTCGGATGATGATGATTACGATGATGATGGATGATGCTGGTGCTGA